TAACTTTGTTCTCTAAGGTATTAGAAAAAGCTATGAGCATTCGATTGAGCACTTAAATAACAATAACATTTTAGTGGAAGAACAATTTTGTTTTACAACAAAATCTTCAACAGATGAGACCATATACAAGTTAGTGAATGAAATCTGCAAGACCTTAAACAGCAAGAACTTAATAGGAGGCATATTTTGTGACCTAGAAAAGGTCTTCGATTGTGTTAATCATGAGGTTCTGTTGTCAAAATTGGAGTTCTATGGGATAAAGGGTAAAGCTAAACTATGGCTTGAATCTTATTTCAGAAATAAATATCAAAGGGTTTTAATTACAAATATAAATCTTAATCTCAATGAATTTTCGACATGGGGCAAAATTAGAGATGGTGTCCCGCAAGGTTCAATTCTGGGTCCATTGTTATTTCTCATTTATATAAACGATTTACCCAAAACTATAAATCATAAAACTGTGCCTATATTATTTGCAGATGACACTAGTTTGTTAGTTAAAAGTTCAAACTATGATGATCTCTGATTATAATAAAAGAGATTATAAATGAACAACTGGACACAGAAGTCATTATTTTTGTTTCCTTTGGAGAGGGTGATTCACCATATCTTGGAAACTGTTAGTTCCCAACAGCTTAAGAAACTGACACCATTTTCACTCCTTACAAGGAAGTTCTCATTAGCAGAAAGGCCTCTAAATAAACAGCGGTAACACTGCTTGTGACACAACAATCCTGATTCCTGGCATGGATAAACAGAGCCCATGTTATCCACCAGATAGGGTGCATGCATCACTATGGTACTCCTTTTGTTGCAGCAGTCTTTTAGACAGAATGAAATATTAAAGTGGTGTACTAAGGACAAACTGCACAGTTGGTATCCCATATCAGCAGAAGAGCAACATGACATTGCTCACCTACACGAACTGCTGGTAGACCACAAGAACTATTCATGCCAGGAATTTACCAGTCACACAGACATTAGTGACCCCAACAGAATGCAAAATTTATTCTATCCATAATTAATCCATCATTTTTGTGAAATCAATTTAGTCAAACACAACAATAAAGATTATTAAAAATACTCACTGTGACAGTGGCAAATTTAGTCGGCCAGTTGTTTCTATAGCGTGTTGGAATGAATCGATCAACGATCTTCCTATAGCATGGGGTCTCAGATGTCAGTAAAATACGTCACTGCAATTATAAATCAGACATCATTAAAATCTCGAATTTCCCAATCAAATGAGAAATGCGCAAATCTTTCAAACTGAGTTCTCAGAACATGGCATGGATTTCAGTTCCTTTCAGAAACTTGTATGAAAACAAAACTGTAAATGTTATGCATATAATTCTCCTTTCAGGGATGAAAAATGTGGAATGAAGGGGACAGAAAATAAATTTTTCATGATGAGTTAAAGAATGAACAATGTAAAGGACTTTGAGAATCAAAACATTTACACCAAGACA